GGATCCCCCCTATATTGAGGCCTTTGCCACTCTGCAGTGGTAATCAGTGTGGGGTCTGATGTTTCTTTGTCCACACACACAGAGGAGATGGACGCAGGAGGAAACCACCCTCCACCAGTGTTGGTAAGAGCCACCTGAGGATTTAAGATGACAGAGGAGATTATCAGGATGATCTTGTGCTTGGGAATATGATACTTCTCTGAGATGTGACAAAACAAAACCAAACTCATTGCCATTAAGTCGAATCCAACTCATAGCGACCCCTCTTTGGGTCTCCAAGGCGGTATCACCATGGAAGTAGATTGTCCAACCTTCCCTCTGAGGAGTGGCTGGTGGGTTTGAGCCGCCAGCCTTCTGGTTAGCAATCAAATGCCTTAGGCACTACAGGCCTCCTCTGAGCTTAACAAGAGCCCTTGGGTGGTACAAACAGTTAAGTGCTGGGCTGCCAACTGAAAGATTGGTGATTCAAACTCACCCAGAAGCACCTTGAAAACAAGACCTGGCAATTTGTTTCTGAAACGCCTGAAAACCCTATAGAACCATTCTGGTCTATAACATACAGGGTTGCCATGAATTAGAATCAATTCAATGCCAACAGGTATTATTATTATTATTTTTTATTATTATTACTGGGCTTAACAGAATGGGGTTCAGATGGTGCTAAAGCTAAGAGCGAAGAGTGATCTTGCAATTTGCCCATCCCCCCAGCTGAGGCTTCGAGGTTTGGTGTCTAAGATCTTCTTGGTGCAGAAAGGTTTCCTCCAGGTAGTTTGGGGTCTCCTTCCTCTACAGTGTGCTGTGAGCCCTCAGAGTGATGGTGTCATTGTGACCCTCTTGAAAAAGACCAGACATGTAAAATCTGCTCTTTGCAATCTTGTCCATGTGTAAAAGAGTCTCCCTCAGTATCTAGCAAGCTTCAGAACTGGGATTTCCTTTCTCATTAAGGGCTCGTGGGTTTTTGTTGTACATCCTGCATAGTGCCATCCATTGATTTTTTTTTTTTTTTCACAGTGCAGCCTATTGTTGTTGTTTGCTATCCAACTCATGACGACCTTATATGACAGAACTGAGCATTGCCAGTCCTGCACCATCTTCATAATTTTGGGTATATTGTAGCTAAGAGTCTTAAGTTTGCTTGTGGGTTATACACTAAAGAGGAAAATTTTGTAGTCAATAAATATTTATTATGTACCTAGTCTAGGCCACAAGGAGCTCTGGTGGTGTGGTGGTTAAGGCATTTGGCTGCTAAACAGAAGGTCAGTGATTCAAACCCATCAGCTGCTCCACAGAAGAAAGATGAGGCAGTCTGTTTCTGGAAGCATTTACAGCCTTGGAAATCCAACAGCAGTCACTATGAGTTGGAATCGACTTGATGGCAGCACATTTGGTTTTTTTGGCTTGGTCTAGGTCACATACTGTGTGAGGCCCTAGGGACAGAAGATAGAGCAAAAAGAGATACTGTCTCTGCCTTCATTCAACAAATAGTTATTGAGAGCCTATGATGTGACAGGTATTGTCCAGGTAGTGGGCCCAGATCATGCATTCTCAACAGGGGCAAAAATTCATATTTGAGAGGGCAAAAAAACTTATTCTTTTAATGCATAAAGCATCAATATACATACAGTTTTATCTGTGATATTGAAATTTCATGAGTGAGGAGCAATTATGAAAAAAAATGTCTAAAAAGGCTCCTTCTTATTGTTAGTTCCCATCAAGTTGACTCCAACTCATGCAACCTCATATATCACAGAACTCAACACTGCCCAGCTCTATACCGTCTCCAAGCTCTCTGATATGGCTGAGTCCGTTACTCCAACTATTGCGTCCTCATTGAGGGTTTTTCCTTGTTTTCACCAACCCTCTATTTTACCAACCACGATGTCTTTTCTAGCCATTGATCTTTCCTGATAAAGTGTCAAAAGTGAAAAAGGTTCCTTAGAGCGGCAGTAATGAAAAAAAGGTTGAGAAACACTGGGTTAGACCAATAATAAACAAACAAAAAATAAGATCCTGCTTTCCTGGCTTACATTCTTGGGACATTAAAAAAAAAGAAGAAGAAAAAATAAATAGTTAAGTAAGTATCTGTGCAAAGTATGTTGAAGGCAAAGGCCAGTGGACTAAGGGAGTATATTTCACAGGGATCCTGCCTACAGTCCAGGGGACAGGAAAGGACCCCCCCCCCCCAACAAGGAGGGATGTTTAAACCTAGGCCTGAGGTTGTGTGGGAGTGACTAGGATCTTCCTTGAGCCAAAGTTTGCACTTGCCAGGAATAGCTACTGCAGTAGCCCTGAGTTCCTGTGATGTTGAACAGGCTTCAGCACTGCTTCCAGACTAAGATGGACTAGAAAGGAAAGGCTGGTGGTCTACTTCCAAAGATCAGCCAATGAAAACCTGTGGATCACTTTCAAAGCCTGTTGTGCATGGGGTAGCTAAGAGGGTGACTGGGCAGTTAACAAGAATGATTTACTCTTGTGTGTGTGTGTGTGTGTGTGTGTGTGTGATTTGGGTGAAAATTTACAGAGCAAATTCACTTTCCATACAGCAGTTCACATACACTTTGTCTCATGACATTGATCACAATTTACCACAATGCAACAGCTCCCCTCCCACTTCCTCCAGATGGTCACCTCTTCCCTGTGTCCATCCCTCCTTGCACTCCTGCCCCCTGAGCTGTCTCCCTGTGCATAAATAGCCCTTCTTTCTCCCATGATTGAAGAACGATTTACTCTTGGGTGTCACAATGCAAATGACTGGCTTCAATGCCTCTTTTCCATTCCAAGGGTGAAGCTCACAGTTCCGAATATTGGAATAGCTCATCTGTGGCTGTTTACACGGTGGACTATGCCCGATTTCCCCAGCCCACCCTTCCCACAATGTTTGCATTTTCACATTCCCCAGTCTATTCTTCCAGGGCAGCCAACTCATCTGCCTTCTACTGTCTCCTCCCTGTCACTATGAAAGAGTGAAACAAAGCTTGCTCAGTGGGGCTTCCCACCCCAACTCCTGGCATTCCTGGGGGTGGGGAGCACCTGGACATGGGACTCTCTATTTTCAGCAAAAGTCCCTGGCTTCAACTCCAACAGGCAACCCCACACCCAGTCCAGACACCAGCACTTGGGAACCACCTGAAAAGGAAAAGTTGTTAGAAGTGAAAGGCTTTCAAATTTGCTGCCTGTGTTCTCCCTCCCTGGGCACTGACCCATATTTACTTTGTGGGCTAGTGCAGAGATTTTAGCCTTTCTCACTCTGAAATGACTTTGAATTCAGTCTTGAAATACAATCAAGGTGATTTTTAAGCCTGTCTTAAAGTCAAAAGAGCTACAGAGATAGTCCTAACAGCCTCTTCCATTAAGTTCTCCAAACATCTCTCCTCGGCCCTCTTAGGAAGACAGGACAGATAGCCCAATCCCTGTTTGACAAATGAGAAAACTGGGGATCACATAGGAACTGGCAGAGCCGACACTCGAGCTCCGCATGCAGCCCTCGTACCTTTAAGGGTGTATGTGTCATAATGGTTGGAGTCAAAAACCTTCAGGAGAAAAGGATGTCAGTTTAAACCCGATTGGAAAGAAACTAGCAAGTTACAATAGTATCTACATTATGTACAGAACTGTGTATGTGTGAGATTCTTGAGAGAGGGCCTGGTGGGGCAGTGGTTAAGTGCTCAGCTGCTAACTGAAAGGTTGGTGGTTTGAACCTACCAAGTGCTGTGCAGGAGAAAGATGTGGCAGTCTGCTTCCATAAAGACTTGTTGTTGTTGTTGTTGTTGTTATGTGCCATCGAGTCGGACTGAACTCATAGCGACCTCTCCTTGGGTTTCCGAGGCAGTATCACTACAGAAGTAGATTGCCCCATCTTCCTTCCGAGGAGTGGCTGGTGAATTTGAACCACCAGCCTTCTGGTTAGCAGTCAAGTGTCTTAGCCACTATGCTACCAGCGCTCCCCCATAAAGACTTACAGCCTTGGAAACCCTATGGGGCCCTTCTATGGGGTCCTATCAGGTCACTATGAGTTGAAATTAACTTGACAGAAGTGGGTTTGGGGTTTGGGGTTTGGGGTTTGGAGATCCTTGAGATGTAATTAACAGAAACCCACTTCAAAAGGAGAAGGGGTTATTGTAAGGATACAGAAGTGAGGGCCTCATAAAAGCTCAGGACTAAAAGGGAACTGGTAGCTGTCAGATCCCATGCACCATCTCATACACACACACACATACGTGTGTACATACACATATGCCACATGTCCTCTCTGTGTCTCTCCATACATCTGCTGATTTTTTCTACTCCAGACATGTGATAGGAAGGGGCTACCTCACAGGCTCCCAGTGCAAGGGACCAGCTCAGGGGTCAAGTAGCATCTCAGAGCTCACAGTCTAAGACTTGGGAGTGATCATCTCAATAACCCAGCTTGTGTTAAGTATGGCCAGGGGCAGGGTAACACACATGGCAGCCAGGGTAGCTTTTCCAGGGACAGGGGAGGCAGTATGCTAAGCAGAAAGCTAGGCAGAGCAACCTCTAATGTCCTGCAGATGGTAAACTACTTCCCTAGTGATACTGACCCAAGGAGGGGTCGCTATGAGTCAGAGACGACTCGACAGCACATAACAATACAACAAGAAGACATTAGAGACATAAGACACATTCAATTCAGCAACATTTTTTAGGAGAAAGAAACGCCATCACCATGAAGGTAGCCATCATAAGGGGCCCCTGGCTTCAGAAACATGAAACTGTAAAAGAGAAAGTGAAATTTAGACTCTAAATATGAATAAATAGATAGGAAGATAAGGAAGGGTGTATACCAAAACATTAATAATACTTATCTTTGAGTAGGGTGATAGCAATGAATTATTTTATCTTTTTTCTCATTTCTTTGTTCTTTTTTTATTTCACAACAAATATTATTTTGTGTGAAAAAATAACAATAAAGCCATTCACAGAGAACATTGTGCGATCTCGCTGCAATGATAGAGTTCGTGTGTTTCTCTTGCTTGTTGAAGGATGGAGCCAGAAAAGCTACCTTGAAGATGGACCAGGAAAGGGAGATGTTGAAGAAAAGTTCATCCAACAAATCCAGCCAGAACCTCTTGTTCTCTAAGTCTGGTGGAAGAAACTAGAGAAACGTCTTCCCACAGAGCCTCACATGATCTTCTGTGAGTCAGGCTGATTCTTCTGTGTCAAAATACTAAGATGCTTTCATAGGACCTTAAAGATTGTTAGCCTAGTGTTTTGATTTCTAGACTGGTATTTTGCATAATACTATATTTTGGAGTGCGTGGGGAGAGGGGAGAAGGGTTCTTTATAAAAATATCTATGAATGTACATACACTCGGGCATGTGAAGAATATATTTAGGTTTGCAACCCAGACTCCTAGGCCTGGGTAGATAAATTACCTGGCTCCATGTTTGGGTCATGCTCTAACAAGCAAACATCCCACCTCCAAGGAGCTCTAAGATCCTTGAGTCCAAGACCACGTTTTGAGAAAACTCAAGACTTGTATATGGCCACAGGGCAGAATGATGATCTCAGGGCTGTTGGAGTCATGGCATAATACATTTACATCTGAGTGTATTATAAAAAATTTAGAGTGCCAATCAGTTTTATCACTTCCATAATAATGACCGATACTTGTATGGCACTTGACAGTTGTCAAAATACTTCTCATTTGATTCTCCCCTAAACCCTGGGAGGTAAATAGTATTATGCTCCCCATTTCACAGATGAGGAAGCTGAGGCCAAGAGAGGTTAAATGGCTGACGTAAAATCAAACAACCAGTAAACTGAAAAGTTGGGTCTTGAACCCAGGTTTCTAACTCATCTCATACTGCCCATTGTGCTTCACCAAGATGGCTCAGTAGCTGAAGTCCAAGGCCATAAGGACAGACCAAGTTCCCAATCACCAAAGAGCAGACACTGCCCATGGGGAGGGACACAGTCCTCCTTTATGGTGTTTGGAGAAGCCATTGTTTACCTTGTTCCATTCTCTGTTTCTCCCACGTTGTGTCCTCTCTCTGTCCACTCACCCTCTACCTTCCTTGTATGGTCAGGATGACCAAACTACACGGCAGGAAGAGCTAGAATTCATGAATATCATTTCCTTTTATTTTTAAAATGCCACAATAAAAATATTTCGATATTTCAAAAACAAATGTATTATTTATATTGATTAAAAGTAAGAGACAATAAAAGAAACTCTGTGAGACATTCTAGTAAAACTACTCTTACACAGAGTTAGGATCTAAAGTCAGTTGAGGAAGGTGAACATTACTTGACCTGAAAAATACTCTTGGAAATCTCTTAAATTTTTCATAAAGTATATGGTATTATTTATACTGTACCCAAAATCCAAAATAGTTTTCCCTCCAGTCTTGGAATAGATCACTTTGGTTAAGCAGCGATTCAGGTAGCTGGCTCATGATTGAGAGCCAAATTATACAAAAAATACTTGGCGTGTTGAGCATGTATAGAGCATGTGTATTTGACTCTGCTTAAGTTAAATATAATGCCTGTATGAGAGCACTGGGAGCTCTAGTGGCGTAGTGCTTAAGGCATTTGGCTGCTAACCAGAAGGTTTGTGGTTCAAACCCACCAACCACTCCTCGGAAGGAAGACTGGACAATCCACATCCGTGTAGATACCACCTTGGAAACCCAAGGAGGGGTCACTATGAGTCAAACTGACTCGATGGCAGTGAGTTTGGTTTGGTATGATGCTACTGTATTTTAGGTCTTTCAAAGGACATGTTAATTTTTATCATATCAACTTTACAACATGATGGCAACTTCAGTGAGTTTGGTTTAAACTAGATAGTTCTTTGGGTATGTCTTCAGCCACACCCCCCTTTCTCTGAGGATGCACATCCACCTTGAGGTGTGCCCTATGTACACTGATCCCTTCCTTGGTCATAGCTGACCATAACTCTAGGCTGAATTGTTGATTCCCAACTCAAGCCAAGCCAATCAGATTTATCTCCTAATTCAAGCTTGGACCACTCTGCCCTTGGTATTTGGGAGTGAGACCTGGATGCCACTCAAATCTTTAATGGTTCTGGAGCTGAGTGTCTTGATGTAGTTCCAGGACTGGGGTAGCCGCTTCCCCACCTTGTATTCAGAGAAACAAAGCTAGACTTCAAAAAGAGAGAAGGCTGTAGTACATGTGCAACAAATAGAGACAAGAAGCCATGGAACCCCAGAGACACAGTGTAGCACATATTGAAGCTTGGCTACCCCACAACCATTCACAAGCCCCCTAGTCCTCACTTTCCTCTACTGTATAGGCTAGAAGCTAAACTGCCTAATTTCCCAGTCTCCCTTGCAGCTAGGGCTGGCCAATGTCATGTAAGCGGAAGCCTCTGGGCAGGGCTTCCCTCCTGGAATACAAAGGAAGGCCTTGCTGGGAATAAGTTTTTTGCCCTTCGCCTTTTGCCTTTTTTTTTTTTCCACTCCTGGAACTCAGACTTGGAGCTGCCATCTTAGGGAATCATCAGGCAACAAACAAGAAGACGAAGCTCACCTTCCAAAGACAATGAAGTGGAAAGACAAGAGAGCCCTGAGTGAGTCCTGGTGGCATCACCTGCTCTGCACCATGACTGAACTCCCTACCTCTCTGCTTCTGGCTGTGTAAGACAAGGAAACCCCTACCTATTTAAGTGGCTATAGTCAAGTATATTTGTTTGTATTGTGGAAAAAATCACCCCAAAACCTAGTGATTTAAAATAACAAATATTTATTACTACTCATGAGTCCATGGGTCAAGTTGGACAATTTTATTGGTTTGTGCTGGTTTGGCTGGGGCTGGATGGTTTAAGATGGCCTCATTTATATGTCTATCATTGGCAGGCAAGTGGATTAAGGCAGTAGTTCTCAACCTGGTTGATTTTGTCCCTCAGGGGATATTTGGCAATATCTGGACACATTCTTCATTGTCATAACTGGGGGACAGGGGGGCAACTGCCCATCTAGTAAGTAGAGGCCAGGGGTGCTCTAAACATCCTAAAATGCACAGGGCAACCCCTAGCACAAAGAGTTATTTGGTCCAAAATGTCAGTCATGCCAAAGTTGAAACCCTGGTCTAGATCTTTCTCAGCTGAACAGTTCCCTGCTCCACACAGCCTCTCATCACCCAGCAGGGGAGATCAGGCTCTGCATGGTGGTGGCCATAGTTTCCCAAGAACAACAGAAGAGAGCAAGCCCTGATGTACAAGAACTTTTCGCATCACTATCTCCCTTGTGTTGACTAATATCTCACTGGACAAGGTAAGTCACGTGGCCAGAGTCAGTGTGGGAGGGACCTCAAATTTTTACATTCTTCCCATGTCAAGTTTTCCATATATGATGCTGAATGCATTCCCAACTGACACAGAAGGAAAAACAGTTACCTTGATTCCTGATGACTTTCTAGTTCTTAATTCTTTTCATTGTGAAAGTTCCAATTCATGCCCTTGGGTCCAACTAGACCTTTGGTATCACTCAAGATTCTTTGGTTGCAAATAACAGAAGCCTACATGGCTAACTTAAATGGAAAGGGAGTTTAATGAAAGGAAATAAAGAAGGTTAGAGAATCAAAGACCAAACACAGTTGAAGAGCCAGGCTTAAACAGTCAGGAATTGACTTTCCTTCCCCATAGATTCCCCCTTTGTGCTTCAGCTGGATTTTCTGTTCTTTGCAACCAAATGAAATTTGCAAAGACCTGGAGTTAGAAAACCAAAAGGGAAGAACATGCTCGGCATTTCTCAAGCTGAAAGAATTGAAGAAAAAATTGAAGCCTCGAGTTGCAATATTGAGAGATTCTATGGGCAAAATATTGAATGATGCAGGAAACATCAAGAGAAGATGGCAGGAATACACAGAGTCACTATACCAAAAAGAACTGGTCGATCTTCATCCATTTCAGGAAGTGGCATATGATATAGAACCAATGGTACTGAAGGAGGAAGTCAAAGCTGCAATGAAAGAATTGGTGAAGAGCAAGGCTCCGGGAATTGACAGAATATCCATTGAGATATTTCAACAAATGGATGCCCCATTGGAGGCACTCACTCAGTTATGCCAAGAGATTTGGAAGACAGCTACCTGGCCAACTGACTGGAAGAGATCCATATTTGTACCCATTCCAAAGAAAGGTGATCCCACAGATTGTGGAAATTATTGAACAATATCATTAATATCACACGCAAGTAAGATCTTACTGAAGATAATTCAAAAACGTTTGCAGCAGTATATTGACAGAGAACTTTCAGAGGTGCAAGATGGATTCAAAAGAGGACATGGAACAATGGATATCATAGCTGTTGTCAGATGGATCTTGGCTCAAGGTAAAGAATACCAGAAAGATGTTTACTTGTGTTTTATTGACTATGCAAAGGCATTTGATTGTGTGGATCATGACAAATTATGGATAACATTGAGAAGAATGGGAATTCCCGAACACTTGTTTGTACTCATGAGGAACCTGTACCTTGACCAGGAGGCTGTCGTTCAAATGGAACAAGGGGACACAACATGGTTTAAAACCAAGAAGGGAGTGCATCAGGGTTGTATCCTTTCCCCACACTTATTCAATCTATATGCTGAGCAAATAATCTGAGAAGCTGGGCTATATGAAGAAAAACATGGCATCAGGATTGGAGAAAGAATCACTAACAACCTGAGATACACAGACGATACAACTTTGCTTGCTGAAAGTGAGGATGACTTGAGGCACTTACTGATGAACGTTGAAGAATACAATCTGCAGTATGGATTACATCTCAAAATAAAGAAAACAAAAATCCTAACAACTGGACCGATGAGCAGCATCACAATAAATGGAGAGAAGATTGAGGTTGTCGAAGAATTCACATTGCTTGGTTCTACAATCGACATCAATCGAAGTAGCAGTCAAGACATCCGACGATGTACACAGCACTGGGCAAATAAGCTACAAAGGACCTCTTTCAAGTGTTGAAGAGCAAAGATGTCTCCTTGAGGACTAAGGTGCACCTGACACAAGCCATGATATTTTCAATTGCCTCATATGCATGTGAGAGCTGGGCATTGAATAAGGAAGACCAAAGAAGAGTGATGCTTTTGAGTTGTGGTGCTGGTGAAGAATGCTGAAAGTACCGTGAACAGCTA